GATATTGAGGTAGGTATTGTTGTCGTCTCTGCCGGTGATGCAGCAAGCGATGCTGATGCAAACGTGTCTGCATGCAACACACGTGGCGTCGCCAAAGCCACATCCACCTCCGCTGGTGGAGGGAGTGACTTGGTCATGGCCACGGGAGCCAATGGTGGACTTGTCGAGTGAGACGCTAGGTCCTGTGTTGGCGGAGGTAGTGGTTGTTTACGGGGTCTTCCCCGCGTGGGACGCTCCAGTTGTGCGCTACGTGGGATAATGTGTAAAGGAGTGTGTTGCTTGATGCGTTCGCTCAGGTGCTGAACAGTCCTACCAACATACCGGCTAGCACAATTCCGGCATTCAAAGTTGTAGATTACATGACTTAAATGATGGGTTGGTAGGACGTCCTTCAACACCGTGAACGAACGCATCGTTGTGTAGACGGGTATGAAGTGTACCGCATAGTAGGTTTGTTTAATGATCGCACGAACTTCGTATACACCCGTTTTTTGAATACAATAAAAGCCTTTGTGAAAATGCCGGTTCAGCTCGTTCTGTTGATCGCAATTCTAAAATTATTATTATTATTATTATTAACTGGTTTGAGGGAAAGAGACAAACGGGAAAAGTCTGAAGAAAAAATTGACTGTCACCACCAGGACTCGAACCAGGGACCTTCGCTTGTAGCCAGCGATGCTCTAACCACTGAGCTATGGTGTAGTCGTCATCCCAGCAGAGGCCGTTCAACATTTTCTTCAGACTTCGTAACTCACACTTCCTATGAATTATTATTATTATTATTATTTACACAAAGGCACACAATGAAAACCTTGGCAAATTAATTCCGTTGTGACTCAGAGTTTCATGTAAAACTCATGCATGAAACTCTGAGTCACAACGGAATTAATTTGCCAAGGTTTTCATTGTGTGCCTTTGTGTACGCCGCTCTGCCTGAATCAGGCATTGAGCACTCTTGCAGAACCAAAGCATATTGACTCTGTATTATTATTATTTATTCATATTTTAATAGGGCAATCCCCACAGACTCAAGGTCTTCTTACGGGGTACCTTAAGAATGAAAGTAATGCATGAAAGTAATGCATGGCGAAATAGGGATGGCGATGCAGCAGTGCGGATATCAGATGGAGCACTATTCCATCGAGGGTTTATCGGGTGTTAGCGGCCATCGTGAGTTCCCTTCGGGAACGGATACGATAATTTACTTTTTTTTTACTATTCCATCTGTCTGCAGCCAAATAAGAGAGAGACAACAGACTGTAGCGTGAATTAACTCGGGGTAAAACAAGACCATTGGAGGAGTGAAGGCGGGTCCCACATTGCAAAGTGTTAGCTGCTGAAGAGCGAAGTACAAAGAGGTCTCGAAGAAGGGAACTGGTCTGGCCTAGGACGCAACGGAAAGCAACTGAGTACAATTTTAAACTGAAGCCGACTGAAATTCTTTCTGAAGCAGCCAAAGCAAAGCGGCAAAGCGACCTAGGCGGGGTAGACCACGTAAGAACGTGGATGCCACAAGCTTGTCACGGTCTGGGGCTAGAGTGGACTCCCGAAGATCAGCTGATTCTGTTCATTGCCATTTTAAAATTGTTGTCACCTCGCCGCCTGTAGTTTGAGTTACCTTTGAAAATTATCATGTGCTTAAAGGGGAAGTTAAGGCAAAAATCAAAATTTCACCAGTTGTAGTCTTCGGGGTGCTGAGTCGAATGGTCTTGGTCCGAGAAAGCTGAGACGCTCCCTTCCTACTTGAATCCCAATCGAACTCGCGCACTTCCACCGAAACTGGGTGACTGCGCCCTACTAGATGGGGATTTGTATGCAAAATGTCACTAAAAGGGCCATTTCGTTCTTATAAAAGCACGGATGACCGCGATTGGCCCATATGTTATAGTCTTTTGGTCGCTGAGTCGACTGGTTTTGGTCCGAAAAGGCTGCGATGCAGCGTTCGCCCCTAATTCCCAATCGAACATGGTCGAACAAGCGGTCACGTGCTCCTGCGTACACCAGTCACCTGGTCACCGTGCCTGCAGGGTACAACTTACAGCCTGTTTTGACCTTTTTTGGGTGCAGTCCTGTCACTCGAGTTGAACTCGAGTTGAACCTTGGTGTGAAAGTTGTCACCTGCTGGCGTGGTGACCAGTTGATTTGGTCACCCAGGAGCACGTGACCACTTGTTCAACCATGTTCGATTGGGAATAAAGGAGGAACGCTGCATCGCAGCCTTTTCGGACCAAAACCAGTCGACTCAGCGTCCAAAAGACTACAACATATGGGCCAATCGCGGTCATCCATGCTTTTATAAGAACGAAACGGCGCTTTTAGTGACATTTTGCATACAAATCCCCATCTAGTAGGGCGCAGTCACCCAGTTTCGGTGGAAGTGCGCGAGTTCGATTGGGATTCAAGTAGGAAGGGAGCGTCTCAGCTTCCTCGGACCACGACCATTCGACTCAGCACCCCGAAGACTACAACTGGTGAAATTTTAATTTTTGCCTTAACTTCCCCTTTAAAAGTTAAGGCAAACATTAAAATTTCACCAGTTGTAGTCTTCGGGGTGCTGACTGCTGAGTCGAATGGTCTTGGTCCGAGAAAGCTGAGACGCTCCCTTCCTACTTGAATCCCAATCGAACTCGCGCACTTCCACCGAAACTGGGTGACTGCGCCCTACTAGATAGGGATTTGTATGCAAAATGTCACTAAAAGCGCCATTTCGTTCTTATAAAAGCACGGATGACCGCGATTGGCCCATATGTTGTAGTCTTTTGGACGCTGAGTCGACTGGTTTTGGTCCGAAAAGGCTGCGATGCAGCGTTCCTCCTTTATTCCCAATCGAACATGGTTGAACAAGTGGTCACGTGCTCCTGGGTGCCCAAATCACCTGGTCACCACGCCAGCAGGCGACAACTTTCACACCAAGGTTCAACTCGAGTTCAACTCGAGTGACAGGAGTGCACCCAAAAAAGGTCAAACAGGCTAGTAAGTTGTACCATTTTCAGAAAGAAAATGTCACAAAACTGAGACTCTTCACCTAGCATTCACGCACCTATTCATTCGCATACACCTACACCTCATAGTTCCTCACCCTATCACATTCACCTGCTTCCATGCTTTCATTTCACTCACCTTTTGTAGTATCGCACACCATTGGAAACTCTCACATCTTTTCTCCTTCTTTCTTTCGTCTTCTCTCCCACTTTAGTTTTTTTCACACCTCACCTTGTATACTTCCCACTATCCTATAGACGTATAAGTAGTTTGTTTCTCAGCCTAGCTTCTACCAGTATTGTGAGACGATTTTTTTAACTTAAGGTATTAGAAGCTGTTTTCATCCGTAAACACAATCCTAATCTATGCATTCAGAAAGAAAATGTCACAAAACTGAGACTCTTCACCTAGCATTCACGCACCTATTCATTCACATACACCTACACCTCGTAGTTCCTCACCCTATCACATTCACCTGCTTCCACGCCTTCATTTCACTCACCTTTTGTAGTAGCGCACACCGTTGGAAACTCTCACATCTTTTCTCCTTCTTTCTTTCGTCTTCTCTCCCACTTTAGTTTTTTTCACACCTCACCTTGTATACTTCCCACTATCCTATAGACGTATAAGTAGTTTGTTTCTCAGCCTAGCTT